CTCGACATCTTATCGTCTGATCCTTTCGAAAGGCTTAAGAGCTTTAAGTATAATGTTTCTTTTAGCTAAATAGCTAAGGGTTCCGTAGATAATAATGAGACTCGAAGAGTATAATACCTTTTTGCTCTTTATCGGCTAGACTCTTTACTTAGAAGTCTAGTTGCTCGATCGGCCATAATTATTATCTATTAGTATATAAGTCGATCTAAATTTAGTTAAAGTATTATATATAACAAGCGCGGCTCTTATAACGTTAACGTTATTATTTTTAAAAGTGACTTAGTTCGGAATCACTTTTCCGTAAGAATAAAGAAAATCAATAGTATAAAAAGCGACTTAATACGGAATCGCTCTTCCGTTATAAAAAAAGAAAAGTATCGTATTGAAAAGTATCTTCGCTATAAAGTCCTAGCTTTTTTATGATTGATCACTTAATAGTAAATCAACCACTGATCAGTGTTAGATTGCTTTTAAGCGATTAAGAATATATATTCGTAAAGTCGTAACGGTCGTCAAAGTACTTGCAATTGCAAAACACTCGATTAATAAAGTATTTAAATTCTATTTGCTTTCTAAGATTCAAAAGAGCTGATTCCTTTTATAAGATTAAAAGGAATCACGTGCACTAGCTAACTAATAAGTCTACCTGTCAAGTTGGGGGCCCTTTGACTGCTGACATGCTAAGCGAGGCATGCCAAGTGGCCCGTGAACCATGGTTCACGGGTGAGCTTCCCCAACTACTACTACTACTATTACTACTAGCTAGCTAAGGTCGATATGGATATACCGACACTCTTCCTTCCCTTTTTTACAGCGGCCTTTCTACCTATCCATCCACTTGCACTTTCAAAGTATTAGTCAAAACTAGCTCCTGCAAAGAGGTATTAGCGCCGATTTTAGTTATGGCGTCAGCAAAGTTGGATTTGCTTCCGATCTAGCGTACCTTAAAGAGCTCTCGCTTCTCGTATGACTCTCGAATAGCTATAATATCGATTATTAAGCGCTTCTCTTTTATAATCCTTAGTTTTATTATGTATTCGTAAAGCGAGTAAAAGTTAATGCACACAACTATAAAGAAGTTAAAGATCTTTAGCTAAGCTATGATTTAAGCAAAGGTAATCGACATAGCAATAGCTATATCGATACTTAAGGACATAGCGTAAAGCTCGAAAGCTAATACTGCTCTTATCACTCTCTTGCACTTTTGTAACACTTAATAGAAGATGTTACTCGTTAAAGTGAACTCGTTTTTACTTACGTGAGCCTTATTGCTAAAGATAATTACGAAACCGATTTAAAAGCTAAGGTCAGCGTTGTTAGCAAACGCTCCGTCTACGAATACGAAAAGCTTCGCCGTCTTCAAGTCTAAAAGCACGTAATAGATCTTTCGTGTTAAGTGATCGATCAGCTATTAAATCACTTTATTAAAAGCTTTATAGTCTTCGTCCTTCGGTTCTTAGTATTGAGCAGCTATCGATAGAGCACAAGATGCTTTTAAGTAGCAAATAATAGCTAAATACGCTTTTCGAGCACGTTGCTTTAAGTATTCCTTAGCTCGTATAATTGAATCGAGCTTAATCACGGCAAGCCTTTTACCCTGCCCTTTTTACCTAATTAACAATCCGAACCCGTATTTATCTAAGAATAGCTTGCATCTATTGAAAATCATCGGTTCGGCGTATGTAAAGGTCTTTATCTCTTTGCTCTTCAACTTAAATTTAACCAACTCTTTTTCTTCTTTTGCCTTTATAGCTCGATTGATAACTATAAGAATATCGTCCGTTTATAAAGCAGCTCTTCTTAGCTGATCCTTATTAATTAATATGAAAAAGCAAAAGTCAAAGCTCGATTGCTTTATGCCGAAGTTATTTATAAAGTGCTCGGAAAAACGCTTATACTAATGCGTTCTTGCTTCGAAGATGCCGTATAAAAAGCTAGTTATAAAGAACAAAGTGCCGAAAAGGAATCGATAAGTGATCTTTTTAAGTAATCGCACGACGATTATTCGGATGAGCTTCGTGCTTGATTAAGTATAAGCTTGCGTGATATCTTTATCATAGACTTAACACTCGTAATCTTTTATTAAAAAAAGAGCTAAAGCATAATAAAGTCTTTAACCCGCTCGTTGTACCGTAAGTGATTCGGTGAATACCTTCGTCTTACCTTTATCTTGAAAAGCTTAGACTACCATACGAGACTTTTCGTATAGCGTAAGTATTCTTTTGCTTTTGATCTTATTAATAAACTTAAATCCGAAGATCTTAGCGCTTTTAGCGCGTAAGTCGGTGCTCGGGATCATTTAAAAGATGCTTTAAGCTATTAATTGAGCTAATTCTTTTGTTTTTGTTGGATCGCCGGTAGCGATCTCTCGTAATAATTCGTAAAAGTCGTGACGTCGTCAAAGTACTTGCAATTGCAAAACACTCGGTGGTAAAATACTCAATTGTTGCTTGTTGTTCTGGTTGATTTATCTGCTCTAAGAAAGCTGACTCCTTCTATACAATAGGAAGGAGTCACGTGTACTAGCTAAATACTAGGTTTACAAGGTTTACAAGCAGGTTAAGGGGGTCCCCGGACCTGTGACAAGCTAAGCGAAGCATGCCTAGTGGCCCGTGAACCCTGGTTCACGAGTGAGCTCCCCCCAACTACTATTTACTAGCTAAGGTCGATATAAATAAACCGACAGTTTTAGACTTTTAAAATAATGCCTCGAAGCTTTTAATAATTCCTTCGGCTCGTAGCTTAGCTAAGAGCTTATAGTCCCGGCGTTTCTTATCGGTAATCAACACTTCGAAGTCCTTAGTAAATAGAACGTAAGAATCGTTCTCCTTTTCATCGAGCACGGTCGAGATACTAAGATCGTACTTCTAATAAGGTATCTAGACTATTAGTATTATTGACTTCTGGAGATTAGCAAGTTGAGGGTTAGGGGGGCTATTTGTTGGTCTTGGCGAGCTTCTTGGATTAAGCGACCTCGGTGGATTAAGCGAATGTTGAGGTTTAAGCGATTTTCGTAGTTCCAGCTCTTTTTCGCCTTCGCTTTGATCTTCGCCTTCGCTTTGATCTTCTTCTACTTCTACTTTAAGTACTTGCAACTCCTCTAGCAGCTTTTCAACTTCAAAGTAGTAAGGTTTTACTAAGGTTGACTTGAATTCCGTAAGCTTCGGACATGCTATTATGCACGTGTGCCCTCGCTTGCTAAGCAACTGAAAAGGGCCCTTTCACCCTTGATTCTCTCGCCACACGAGTACCCGTAAGCTAATAAAGAGGTCTAAGGTATGCTCCGTAATCGGGCTATTCTTCCTCTTGAGCGCGTCCTTAACTTGCCTCGCAGCGTAGCATTTTCGTACTTCCTTTATAGCCTTGTTAATAGCAGCAACACGCTCTTAAGTAAACGCGGCAGGTCGATTTTGTTCCGTCAGCCTTAATAAAGTGTTAAAAACGAAAAGCGTAAGTACCAGGCTATTAAGTCCCGCCGTATCGTTGATAGCTTTTATAGCCATTTGAAGCCGGTCCTTCCTTAAGGCTTTTAGAAGCTCTTTTATGACGATCTTAAAAGCGCGTCGCACAAGGACGTAATAGCATTCTACTAGCTCGACGCTATGATAAGCTTTTATAAGCATTTGTTTTAAAGTGCTGCTAATACTTTTAAAATAGCTTCGGAACGTTGCCGAATTAAAGTTAATTCCGAGATCGTGCACGACGTTTATAAAAGGTCCGACGTAAGTGTTAACTTAGCATCTATTAAATCCTTTAAGTAAGTGCTATGCGGACATGCTTTTAAAGAAAGTAACGACTTGAAAATTAATAGAATCGCAAACGACGTGCAATACGTTTTTATCGTTAAAGTGCATTACGTCTACGTATACCGTATCATTGAAGTCAATATTATCTTTAAGTCTAATACTAAACCTCTTTAAAGAACGTTCGAATACTTAGCAATAATAGCAAAACTTTTAGATATTGTAAAGCAAATCTCGTTTAAATTCGTGCCCGGCCCTTTTAAAAACAGCAGCAAATCGACCTGCTAAAAGGTAGCCAAAACGCTTATGAATAGTCTTCAATTATTCTTCCGTAAAGTAGCAATAAACGGTCTCGCTTTCGGTACTATAGTAAATAGCAGCGTGCTCTTTACTTAATAGCATCCACACGTGTCTAAACATCTTTATCACTAGTATTTCCTTTTTCTTTTAGACTAGCACGTTCTGCAAATTATCCAAGATCACTTTATGCTTATTTATATCAGCTAATAAAAACAAAAAGAGTACGTCGCTCTTTATAACGTAAAATTCCACTTGACCTAAGAGCGTTTTTAAAGTAACTGCTTTAATAGAAGTAGCAAAGCTAATCCCGTACTTGACTGACTTTTCCTTTGCTCGAGATGTATTTAATTAAACTTCGAGATACTTCTTTTAAAGTGCTCGTAGCTAAGGCAAGCTAGCGGTAAAGAAATTAGCTGCTCCGCTATTAATTATAAAGCTTATAAATACGTTTTCAAAGTACTTAAAAGCTATGTAAGTCTTTGCTTTGCCCGCGAGCACGTTTTAAGTCTCGATTTAGCTAGTAAAAGCGTAGAATGCCGTTTAAATCTCTAGTTGTTTATATACTTCGTCAGCGTTAAAAATGCCGTAAGTAATCACAAAACCTTTTAATATATTAGCGTAGCTGCTCGATTCGAGCGGCTCGTCTAACAAGCTTGCGATGAACTGATCGAATTCTTTCGTAAATACAAATAGCAAACTTTCGATCGACGCTACGTATTAAGAGAATTTGCTCTTCATCACCCTTTTTGCGTCCTTAAAGCTCTAGAACTTAGCGACGGATGCTTTTCTCTTATCGAAGGTGTAGTTAATGCTCTAGCAACCTAGCTTTTTGCAAACAAAACACCTTTTCTCACCCTTAATAGCCTTGGCAGCTTTCTTATTACCGAAGTATTAGCGGTCCTGAATAAAGCATTCGTATTCCTCGTCTAAATCGGAGTCAACCTTTAAGGTGTTGTGCTAAGAGCAAGTGTGATCGTATAGCTCGCTAGAGCTCGCGTAAGCTCTAGCTTTAGCGAGAGGTCGAAAGGTCTTAGTTGTAAAAGCAATTGCTCGACGAATATCAGCAACTGCCGCGGTAAAGGTAAAAGCAAGATTCATTCGTGCAATCGTAGTCTTTAGCACGTTTTTACAAGCTAAATACAGCTTGTCAGCAAGACTTCGATCGTCTTTTAAACCTGGTCGTAAAGAGCCTTGAATACCCTTGAGCTCTTTAGCGAGCTTCTTAAAGCACTCGCTAAACGAAGTCCTTGGATTCTCCTTCCTGACCAAGTCTAGCGAAATTTCTTCTTAACGGTCGTATTTTACTTGCCGTCGATAATCAGTTTCGAAGTGATCCTTTACCGTAATAGCGTTTGCCTTGAATATCGGAAGCCTAGCCTTAATAACGTAATTGTAGTAAAATATAATAGCCTCCTTCGTAAGCATAATAAAGAACGCCGCTAAGTAATCGTCGGAAGTCAAACCGTATCGACTTGCTTAATCAGCAAAAATCTTTAATTGAGTTCTAAAGTCATCGTCGAGTCTCGAATACTTTAGTTCTTTAAAAAAGCTTCTTGCAAACAAAGCCAATTCCTTCGCTCTTAAGTGAAGGTCTGCTACTCTTAACTTAAAGAAGTCATCGCTATCGTCGTTAAAAGCGCTTAGAATGCCGTACGCAAGCGTGCTGTACTTGGTTAATAGTCTGATCGGTAAAAGGTTACCGATATAGTTGCCGATGGTCCGTCTTCTTTTAAAGTCCTTAAGAAGCTCATTTCCGAATCCGAAGTCCTTTAAAGGTCCGTTTCCGAATCCTTTTAATAGTTTAAGAAAACCGTTTTTACTTTTTCCGTATCCGTGTCCTCGATCTCTTTGTTAATCTCTTCCGTTTCCTCTTCGTCGGTCATCGTTAAGATCGTTAAAGCTATTCGAGTCACCGGCTAAAGCTTTAGCTTAATAATATTCGTATCTTTAAGCTTACTTTTAGCGATTCTTATACCTTTGGTTTCTCTTTTGCTAATACGTAGCCTTTTGAAAGATATAAGTAGCTTGTCGGTACGTCCGAAAGTGCTAGATCCCTTTTTCGAGTTATTAAAGTTGGGCACGGAAATCTGCACGCTATCTTTAATAAAAGCTGATTTTGTCCGGAATGCTTTCAGGTTTTAGCGGGTCCTCTTTTAGCGTATAGCTCCCGTAGCCTCGAGTATTATCAAGCCCGATTATGTTTTCGAAGCCGTTATTATTACTACTCGGTCTTGGCTTTTAAGAAACCCGGTTGTAGCTCTTAAGAAAAAGGTTTAAAAGCCGCTAAAGTGATTTTAGCTCTTATATAATCGGCGTATTGCGTAGCGATTAATGAATTGAAAGCGTCGAATACGCTAAAGTACTTCGTCGTAGTCCTTCGTTAGATTGTATAGCGTAAGTTCGTAATTCCGCTATTTGCTTTGCTATAGTCTCTATATTTCGTTCTATATCTCTCCTCTCTTTCGCAAACTCTTCGCGTAACCTCCGAATCTCCTTTCCTTCTTCCCTCTTGCTTAAGGTCTTCTTTTCCTTCCTTTTTAAGCTTCGCGAAAGTAAAAGTAAAAGTGGTTAAAGTGTAATATCTTCGTCGTCCGTAAAGTTTTCGGCGGTCCACCTTGAATCTAGGCTGCTCCATGGGGTGGGGGCCCCATGAGGTTTTCCTCCCCATTCCTCCCATAGGGTCTTGGCCGATAAGGGACTTTTTTTTTTAAACCTTATAGAAAAGATTTTTTTTAAGTCAAATTCTTTACGAAGGATAAGGAAACCTTATAGGTTTAAAGTAGGACAGCTAAAAATAATATATATAGGGCCGCTAAAAATAAAATAAATTTACGAATATTTATTAATTTTACTTAATCATTATATTTATTTATTATATTTATTAATCATATATATTATACTTTACAATTACATTGCATTATATTATAATAAATTAAAATTATTAAACAAAACTTCTAATCATGATTTCCCGCAATTTCTTAATTAACGTTATATCTTTGTTTTAAATCGTTACTCGTTTAGCGTAAATAGCACATAAGTTCGTCACTAAAAGTGATTAGTAAATCGATTAGTAAATCGATTAGTAAATCGATTAATAAATAAATATATAAATACTTACTTTCAAACTCTCTTATAAAGAATGCCTTTAAAGCTTCTTATAAACATTTTAAAGCATCGCTTTGAAATTTAAAGTCTTATTTAAAATCGTAAGTGATCTTTCGAACAAGACGTTAAAAGAAAGTCTTTTTGATAAGAAGCTCGGTGTCTTTTTAATATCGTCGGATCTCTTTTAACGCAATAGCTATATAAATTAGTAATTATACTTAAGAATCAATTTATTAATTGATTGAACTTATTTTTAGCTTATAGCGACGGCGCTTTCGTTGGCTTAGACCTCTTTTTTTCGCAACAACTGCAGACTTCTTAAGATACTTGCCTTTTTTAGATTTTTAACGAGAAAAAGTTTTAGCTGCCGAAAGTGATTTGCTAGCTAATAAAACGAAGCGAGCAGCTTTAGCCGTCGAAAGTGATTTTTTAGCTCTTTTATATTAAAAGAGAAGAATATCATTTTCACTTGAGTTTTCTTTATCATCGCTTTGCTTTTCTTCATTTGTATTATTATAAAGCATCGTCTTCGTCGCGGTTTTTATAGCTATAATTAAGCCCGGGATAATAAGAGACCTTTTAAGAGCTTTTTACGCGAAAGCTTTTTTAATACGATTGCTAATAAAAGCAGAAAAAGGTTTAGCAGCTGCAAAAGAATTGTTTCTAGCACTTAAGTCGTAAAACGGATCTTCGTTTTGAAGCTGAGCTGATGCACTCGCTTAATTCGTCGATTGTTATATTGCTTTTAAAGCAGTTTTAAAACAATTAGCGAACGAAAGAAAAAGGTTTAAAAAGATTAAACTTATTAAAAGCTGTTAATACTTATGTTAATATTGTTAAGAACGATGCTTTTGTTTATTTCGAATTGAATAGCCGGAGTAAATCTAATTGCGTTTGCTAAAAAAAAATTTAATTAATAAATATTTACTAATCATAAGTCAAAAACATTACCGGATCGAAGTCTAAGAGATAATAAGTACTAGTTTATATTTGCGCGAGAGTTTGTTAGTATTTAAAAAGCGTCACTTAAAATAATAGAAATTAGCAATTATTAATTAATAAAGTAATTAATACTTATTAGCTTGACCTTAAGAAATTCGGCGAAAAAAGGACGAGGATAAATCGGTTCTTTGTTATAGACTTGCAATACCGCGCGAGGTTTTAAGAATTTTTGTAAATGCTTATCAGCTATTTGCAATTGATTTACTAATTAATTTACTAATCAAATATTAACCGGATAGCTGTCGAGTTGTAATAGCGCGGCGCTTAGCAAAAGTGAAGTTAAGAATTTTTGTAAATGCTTATTAGCTATTTGCAATTGATTTATTAATTAATTTATTAATCAAATACTAACCGGATAGCTATCGAGTTGTAATAACGCAGCGCTTAGCAAAAGTAAAGTCTAGCGCATCCGTAGCTAATTGAGCTTTGCTAGACTAAAGATAAGGATTTGCGTTAAGCAAAGTAATTGAAAAAGTATTAATAGTACTCCGATTAATTAAATATAAACTTACTTTGTTTACTTTGCAAATTTAAGTTTTTTTTTTTTACGCTTTCGCTGCGTATTATATCTGCTTTACTTTCTTGTACTTCGTCCTCATCTACTTAACCTTTAGCCGCTTGACTTTCAGCCGCTTGACCTTTAGCCGCTTGACCTTTAGCCGCTTAACTTTTAATCGCTTGATTTTTAATTGCTTTATCAATTAACTTATTTTAGCTTGCGTTATCTCTTTTAGCCGTAGTGCTTAGTATATCGGTAAAAAGAGGTCGGTCCGAAAGCAAAGGTTCGTTTAGTAAAAAGGCTATTTGAAAGTATTAATAGAAAGACTTAATCGCGATAATCTAGTTTACGATTAATAAATTAATAATTTTAAACAAGAAAAGGACGACCTTATAAAGCAATAAATAGCGTTGTATTCAAAGGCGTAGCAAATAAGAAAGCGATAATTGTAATTAATTATTAAGTAATAATAAAAAAGAATCAGACTTTATTTTGTAAAGTAAAAATTGCGCGAGGCGGCCGCTTTATCTTAGCTGCGGCTATCTTATCACTTCGTGAATTCACTAGCGGCCGCGCTAAGATGTTTTAAAAATAAAATATACGAGTTCACTTTTAATTTTAATACTTTTATTCTATTACTTTTGATTTTACTTTAAACAATTACTCTTAACGTTTAGCTTCTTTATAATACTATTTAATATAGCCGCTTATTAGCTTGATTCGATAGAAAGTATTATTGCAAATACAAATTAGCTTAATTTAATAAAAAGGATTGAAAAATCTATAATAAAAATTATTTTCTTATTTATTAATTTATTTATTAATTAAAAACGTCTTTCTTAAAATGCGGCCGATACGACGGCAATCGTAACGGCAAGCAATCCGGTGCTAAGAAACTTTAGCAAGCGCAAAGTAAATATCTTTTTTACGTAGTATTTTAACTTTTATTAATTTATTAATTTTTCTTAAAAAAGAAGGCTAAAGAGAGGCTAATTATCAATTAATCTTTATACGATAAAAGCTAATGCTCGTATAGCAAAGCTGAAATAAGATCTTTAAGCAAATAAGCTTCGAAAAGCTAAAAGACGAGATCAAGCGGCCGCTAATCAGCTTTTTGCAATTTAAAAACAAACTTTAAAATATTCTTAAGCATTAGAAGCTGAAAGGAAAACTCGATAAGCCGAAATGCAAAAGAATCTTATAAATGAACGGTACTTTTTCTTTTCTTTGATTTATTAAGCAATTTATTAATCGATTTTAAAAAAAATCGAAGCATTTACGCGGATAATCTTGCTATATAAGCCGCTTCTTTTATAACTAGATTTAATAATAGAAAATACTTAAATAACGATTGGGTTAATAAAGCATTCAATTCAAACGAAAAGGTTTATAAAGAATTTAATTTGCGAAAAGACGAAAAAGAAAATAATAATATACTTCGCGATAGATACGTCTCGATTACCGATAAAAAAATAAAGAAAGTCACTCGGCAATTAGCACGTTAGCACGCATAAGTAAGCATTTATTTCATTTAAATATTTATATTTTGCTAATAATATAAAGTCACGCTATATAATAACCGTTTAGCAATTTCGTCGCTATTAGTAAAGTGTAGCGCGGTCTTTAACAAAGAAGTGCCGAGCTACTAATTTAAAGAGTAAAGAAGCCTTCTTTGAATTGATAGCTTAAGATTTAGCAAGCACGGTTTTAAAACGAACTAAGTAAAAATTCATTTTATTATGCTTTTAATTAACTAAACTAATATTATAACTTTTAGTCTTTATTTAATTAAGCTTTTTTACGTCTACTTTTCCTTTAATAAAAAGAAGTATTAGCGAGCTAAAATTAAAGCAAATACCGATAAGATTAAATACGAATTGCCGAGTCTAGCCGCTTAATAAAATATAAAAAGATTCGAAAAGAATGCTAAATTTGAAGAAGCTGATTGCGATCTTATTTTATTTCAATGCGTTATACAATTGATTTAGAAAAAAGACGAGCTAGCTCCGGAGTTGTTTTACGGCGTTAAAGATAGCGATACGGAATTGAGATTATTCTTAAACTCAATGCTTAAGTTTATATAGAATAGAATTCACGATTAATTATAAATTTTATATTCTATAAAAATACTTTTATTTATCTTATTCATTAATTATATTTATTAATAATACTTATTAATTATATTTACTTATTATATTTACTAATTATATTTATTAATTATATTTACTAATTATATTTACTAATTATATTTACTAATCATATTTACTAATTATATTT